GCTTTATTCCATGCTGAAGGGGAAAAGCTCAACAGGCAGCCAGAGCTGTGCCCCTTTTGGCTTTGTAGCACTGCAAGAAACCAGAAATAATTCCAAAAATAAAAGTACACCTCAGTTTCTCACCAGGGAAGGAGGTGGTGAGGTAAGCTGGGCTGTGCTCCGTGCCAGGAATTCTCACTGAACGTGTCTTGGCACCGAGCACTCGGAGCAGGCTTGGGCAAAGTCACCTTTTGCCTTCAGAAAACAGAATAAAGGGTCTGCAGTGCCAGAGCCACATGGAATTGGGTGAATTGGGTCTGTTCCAGGAGAAACAAACTCACTCCTGCACACCTGGCTGTGTTCGTGGCCCCTCGCTGCCACCTTTGATTTCGTGGCACGATCCAGCCAGAGTGGGTGGGAAAAAGTAGAAATGGCCCTGATTTTCTGCCAAGTTCATGCCCCAAATCCCTGCTCTTTGCTCTGCTGTGCCTGTGTGAACATTCCCTGATTTTCTTTAGGAAGCAGCAGCTGGGTTTGGGTTGAGGCTGGATTTTATTTTTTTATTCCAGCAGCTCTTCGGCTCAGGTGTGAACCTGGAACAAACATTTCCAGGTGGAGTGTGAGCACCAGGAGCCTGCAGGATCCAGGGAATCCAGGGAGGTTCACAGAGGTCTGGGGCCATGGAAAATAAATTTTTAGAGTCTCAAGAAAACCGATTGTGCTTTTAAGAGCAGGAGGCTGAAGGTGCTCAGTGGAAGCAGGAGCTGTCTGCAGAGTTAAATCCAAAGCAGATCCCATTCTCCAGGGCAGGCAGCCTGGAAGGCGTTTTGCCCTTTGAGACACAATTCCCGATTTTTTTTCCCCTAATGAACAGCAAGCTCCATCAAAGGCCGGGAGATTGAGGACAAAGAGCAGCTCATGTGGCTGCTCCGAGGCGGGATGTGCCCCGAGGCAGCTGCTTCCACCCGGGAATTGCAACAGCAATTGAGAGTCATAGCATCACTCTCTTCCCAGGAGCCTGAGGGGAGAAAAGTTCCCTCCTTCCCTCTCTGAGTTTATGAGGATGTTTCCTGTTTAGTTCTCTGATCAAAGAACAGAATGTATAAATAAACAGAATGGGGAAAGATCACCCAAGTAATTTGGTTGAAATCCTGCAAAGCCACTTCCCAAGTAACAGCCAAATGTCTGTGTAAAATAAAATAATTTGGTTTGTTATCTCGCAGTGACTCTGTTCCGTGGTGTGCTTATAATTTGAGTTGCTGCTCTTGCTTTGTAACCAGAAGTGAGGATTGCTAAGAAAATTATTTAAAGTGGGGGCAAATCTACACATTCCATCTCTCCTTTGGCTTTCATCCCTTGGAAGATAAACTTCGTGGGCTGGAACGAGAGGATCTTTAAGGTCCCTCCACACAACACCTACGTGGCAAAGCCAAGGACAAGAAGAGTTGATCTCTTCCTAAGTAAGCATTTATCCCTTCCTTCTCTTGGATTTCCCAGGACTGAATCACTGAAATCAATTTGGCTGCCAGGCCTCCTCTCGCCCTCTTCCTTTTTCCTCCTGGAGTTGTTCGGCAGGGTTTTTGTGAAGCACATCCCATTAACAGAGAGCCTTTTGTTCTGCTCGATGTCATGACTTGCACTGCCTCCTTGGGCAAGAGCATGAAAAGAGTCTTTTAATCTCCCCGTGTTGATTTTTAATAGGGAACAACATAATCAGTAGGTGGAGGTGACCTTTCATCTCAGGAGCTGCGAGGGGGGAAGACAATTTGGGGATAATTTTTGGGGCGCTTGCAGAGGGAGCTGCCCACAGGCACAAATGCTGGCTCAGGGCGAGTGAATCTCTTTTTCTGTGTTATCAGGAGTTGTTGTAGGGATTTTTCTCCTGTTCTCCAGCTCAGCCTCGTCATTATTTTAAAGTTCACACGATCCCAGGATCTTTTAGGCTGGAAAAGATTTTTGGGATCATTGAGTCCAGCCTGGGAGGGATCCTCACTTTGTCACCAGCCCAGAGCTGTGAGTGTTGTTCCTTGGACACCTCCAGGGATGGGGGCTCCAAAGCTCCCTGGGCAGCCCCTTCTGATGTTTAACAGCTTTTCCATCAGGAAATTCCCTCTGAATTCCAACCTGAAGCTCCCCTGGCACAGCTTGAGGCCCTTTCCTCCTGTCCTGGCCCTTCACCTGGAGCTGTGTTTGCACACCTTGAGGTGCTTTGAGGTCTCTTCCTGAACGGTTCAGCCTCTGCAGCTCCACCAAAACCAAACAGATCTTTTAACAAAGGCAAAATTGCAGGAAAAAAGGAACTTTGGGAACATCTTTTCTGAGTGGGAGGTGTGTCAGAGGAAAGTAGGGGAGGAATCGTCAGAAGAACTTGAAATTTAGGAGTAGATTTGTGAAAACTTGCAGTGGCAGGAGGCAAAACCTTGGGATTGGGACAGGCACGGAAACAGGAACTCTTTTTCATAAAGTTGTAACTTAACCTTCTCATTTTCAAGGCTTTTTGAAAAGAGGGGAAGTTAAACTCTTACCAGAATCAAAGTGGAGTTCTTGTTTTATTTTCCCTTTCCATCAAGTAAAGTCTTTTACCTCCAGCTTTTCCAGGCAGGTGTTTTAACTCCCTGGATCAATTTTTCAGATCCATGTGGTCAAACATTGGCTTTGACTCTGCTGTAGACAATAAATAATCACAAATAAATATATAAATACAAATAAACCTGAAATGCATGTCCAGCCAAACACAAGGAGTTCCTTGAGTAACGTGAGCCTGTAAATGTAAATATTTCCCAACTGCTGCTGCCTTTTTCCTGGTTGATAACTCTGGAGTCTCATCCTGCTCTTCCTGCAAGTTATTCCTGAATTTCAGTTTGAGAAATTAAGGGAATTTAATCAATTTGGTAAATAATAACGATGTTTAAAAAAACCCACATTAATACCATAGCATGGTTGTGTCTTGTATTCCCAAAATTAAACTTTTGCAGAGGGAAGGAGGCTTCTGGGAAGGATTGGAAGAGTAGAAAGGTGGTAAGAAGTGAAACTTTTCCTTATAATTCCCAGAAATTGACCAACGCTGCTGCCTTTTTCCTGGTTGATAACTCTGGAGTCTCATCCTGCTCTTCCTGCAAGTTATTCCTGAATTTCAGTTTGAGAAATTAAGGGAATTTAATCAATTTGGTAAATAATAACGATGTTTAAAAAAACCCACATTAATACCATAGCATGGTTGTGTCTTGTATTCCCAAAATTAAACTTTTGCAGAGGGAAGGAGGCTTCTGGGAAGGATTGGAAGAGTAGAAAGGTGGTAAGAATTATAATTCCCAGAAATTGACCTATTTTTTCCTGTTAGATCAGTTCTGCTCCATAGTTTGGCAAAAGAAAATGCTGAATTGGTTTAAAACACTTCTCAGGAAATTGCTGCTTGAGAATGTAATCTTTCTGCAGCTCCTCTTCAGCTGCACTCGTAACAAGATTTAGGATTTATATGTATTTATATGCAGCAGGTTCATTTGTGCTTCAGCTATCACGCTGCAAATTCCAAGGATTACAATTCCTGCTCCTTAATCCTGCTGGGCTGTGGAGAAAACCCTGCTATCCAAATAATGGACTTTTTCTAAAAAAATCTGTGTAGAACAAAGCTGTTGATGAAGCCACTTTTTTCCTTTGAGCTGTGATTTGAAATAGAAATCAGGAGAAGTTTTTCCAGTCTGGGGTTTGTTTTATTCCAGAATTGGAAGTCCTAATGTATTCCAGTATTCTCTAATTCCACTCTCATGGGAATATCATTGACCTTACTTTGATATCCAAAGGGATGGTGAAGTTTTGGATGGTGGTGGGTGCCACAGAGATTTGGAATAAAACATTGATTAATTCTGGGAGGGTTTTAAGGACAAACCACAAAACCCAAGAGCAGAATGAACCCACACTGGACAATGACGTGGAGTGTCACCGTGCACCAGCTTCTTCTGAGACACAAGCCCCTCTCCTCTTTATTTTTCCTTCCTTATCCTTCAGGAATGCTCCAGACCTGCTGTGTTTGCCTAACTCTGACAGATTTTCTCTCAGAGCTTCCAAGGAGTGTCGCTCTCATTGATACCCAAACCTGTTATGAAGCACCACAGGAGCACGAGACACCGGTTATTTATTTCGATATTTTTATTTTTTCAGGTTTTGATTTCACGGTGCTTTCTGATGCATAGGCAAGAAATGACATCTTGGCTGTGCCTTCACTGTGATTACAGCCCTGGGAGCTCCGTGGCTCTGTGGGAATTTGATATTTAATAAGTGGGATAATGTATCAGTGATATTTTTGCCTCATGTCCAGGAGAAATGATGAGGAGGACTCCATCTTATCAGAAGGCTAATTAATCACTTTATTACACTATATTATTCTATGCTATATTACACTGTATTACATTACATCTAAACTGAATCTGCCAAGCACTCAGCTGCACTCCACTGCACAGCATCTCCTGACTGTCAGCGACAGTCCCAACACACACACCTGGATTCAGCTGGTCAGTGAATAAAAACACACCGGAATCCAATTATCAATTCCCTTCAGGTGAACAATCTTCCACAATGCATTCCACTTGTGAACAGCACAGCAGCAGTAAATGAGATAAGAAGTGTTTTTTCTTTCTCTGATGTTCAGAGAACGTGAATCCCAGAAATTTCTTGGGAAGTTGTGCCTTGCTTTTGTCTGTGAAGAGAAATGTGGTGACAATAACGTGCGGGCTGGGAATGAGAGACACATCCACCTCCATGAGAGAACTGAAATCCACCCTCGGGGGATTTATCCATCTAATTCCCTCTGATTTTAATGCAGATGGAGGACATAAATATCCCTTGGGAATATTTCCATTGTCCCCTGTCTTCCTAAAACCCCCGAGTTCCATCCTGATGATCATTTCTCCCAACAGCCAGCAGGCCGCGGCTACGGTCGCGATGACGCGAAAGCGAAATATTCCACCAAAGTGCTGCTGCAGCTACTGAATTCTCCTCTTTTTTATAAAAATTTTTCTTGCCAGCCCTTCCACCCCATGGTGAACCTGGAATGCTCCCGGGATTTCCGGCCCTTCCTGTGCGCCCTGTACGCCCCGGTGTGCATGGAGTACGGGCGGGTGACGCTGCCCTGCCGCCGCCTCTGCCAGCGCGCCCACAGCGAGTGCTCCAAGCTCATGGAGATGTTCGGGGTCTCCTGGCCCGAGGACATGGAGTGCACCAGGTGAGAAAAACCCTTTTTAAATTTTTTTTTTAAATGTCAGGATAAAATTATTCCCATCCGGGATGTTTTATGGCCCATAAAAAACAGGTGTTGTAAACGTTTTGCGTCGCCCGCGGATGTGTTTTCCTTCCCATTTGCCAGCAGCATTTCCTGAGGTGGGAAGTGAGTTCCTATTTCTGCCCATGAGATCAGCTGAAAATTGGCTGGGTTTGATGAGGGGGAAATCTCAAAGCTGTTTGCAGAGCATGTACCCCTTGCTGAGCTGCAAACAGCTGCGTTCAGCTTTACATTGCACAAATAAATTTATGGAAAAATGATCCAATGGTGTTCCAAGCTGTTTGAGACAGAACATGCATGAAATTAAAAACAGGATCTTCATGCTTTATTGGTTTTTGTGATTTCAACAGTTAATGAAACTGAGGAGCAGTAACAGGAAGAAATAGTTTCCAGATGGGTTGGAGAGAAAAACAATTAAAATTATTTTAGTTAAATAAGTCAGAGGATGTGTTACTGTGATTGCTCCAGTCTCTCCTTCAAAACTCCAGCAGTCCTGGGCCTCCAGTCAGAGCTTTATTTACATAAATATCTCCATCATCATTCCATTTATTAATGCTGGTGTCAGCTACACAAATATCTTCATCATAATTCCATTTGTTAAAACTGGTGGCAGTGCTAGTTGGAATTCTGGTGTCACCACCTCACTGCCCTGTCTGACAGCAGCGAGTGCAGTTGCTTAGGAAAAGCTTTAAAATGTTTTTAAAATCCTGCTGCCGTAGGCTTGAATTCCCAGATTTCCTGGGATGGATTTTGCATCCTTACTTTCATTCTTAAATCCCAAATGGGCTCCTCACCTGTTTTATTTTTAAATGTATTTTATAGTTTCAGCATTGCACGGCGGGATGAGTTTGTGACTAAATAGTGCAGAATTTTGATGGATTCCCTATTTTTTGGATTGTCTGGTTGGCCTGAAGTCACACCTAGAAATCCTGATTCTTGTATCAGGAATGGTGTGGCCAGCAGGAGCAGGGAGATCATCCTTCCCCTGTACTCAGCACTGGTGAGGGCACACGCTCCAGCTCTGGCCCCTCAGTTTGGGAATGATGTTGAGAACCTGGAGTGTGTCCAGAGGAGGCAACGAGGCTGGAGAGGAGCTGGGAACACAACCCTGTGAGGAACCACAGAGGGAGCTGGGGGTCTCAGCCTGGAGAAAAGGAGACTCAGGGGTGCCCTCATCGCTCTACAACTCCCTGAAATGTGGCTGTAGCCAGCTGGGGTTGGTCTCTTTCTCCAGGCAGCACTGACAGATCCAGAGGACACAGTCTCAAGCTGTGCCAAGGGAAATACAGCTTGGATATTAGGGAAAAGTTTTTCACTGAAAGAGTGATAAATTTCTGGAATGGCCTGCCCAGGGAGGTGGTGGAGTCACCATCCCTAGGTGTGTTTAAACAAAGACTGGATGTGACACTTGATGTTTTAGTTGAGGTGTTAGGGCATGGGTTGGACTCAGTGATCTTGAAGGTCTCTTCCAACTTGTGATTCTGTGAATTCTGTGTGAAATGAGTTTCCCAGTCCTTGTAAATTGTGAGTACATTCCTTGTAAACACCTCTTTTTAGGTTCCCAGACTGCGACGAGCCCTATCCTCGCCTGGTTGACCTCAACTTGGCCGGCGAGCCCACGGAGGAGGCCCCAATGGCCGTCCAGAGGGATTACGGCTTTTGGTGTCCCCGCGAGCTGAAAATCGACCCGGAGCTGGGCTACTCCTTCCTCAGGGTCCGGGACTGCTCCCCTCCTTGCCCCAACATGTACTTCCGCCGGGAGGAGCTGTCCTTCGCCCGCTACTTCATCGGCGTCATCTCCATCGTCTGCCTCTCGGCCACCCTGTTCACCTTCCTGACCTTCCTCATCGACGTCACGCGCTTCCGCTACCCGGAGAGGCCCATCATCTTCTACGCCGTCTGCTACATGATGGTGTCCCTCATCTTCTTCATCGGCTTCCTGCTGGAGGACCGGGTGGCCTGCAACGCCTCCAGCCCCTCCCAGTACAAAGCGTCCACCGTGACCCAGGGCTCCCACAACAAAGCCTGCACCATGCTCTTCATGGTGCTCTACTTCTTCACCATGGCCGGCAGCGTCTGGTGGGTCATCCTCACCATCACCTGGTTCCTGGCCGCCGTGCCCAAGTGGGGCAGCGAGGCCATCGAGAAGAAGGCTCTGCTGTTCCACGCCAGCGCCTGGGGCATCCCGGGCACCCTCACCATCATCCTCCTGGCCATGAACAAGATCGAGGGCGACAACATCAGCGGCGTGTGCTTCGTCGGCCTCTACGACGTGGACGCGCTGCGCTACTTTGTGCTGGCGCCTCTATGCCTCTACGTGGTGGTGGGAGTGTCCCTGCTGCTGGCCGGAATCATCTCCCTCAACCGCGTGCGCATCGAGATCCCGCTGGAGAAGGAGAACCAGGACAAGCTGGTGAAGTTCATGATCCGCATCGGCGTCTTCAGCGTGCTCTACCTCGTGCCCCTGCTGGTGGTGATCGGCTGCTACTTCTACGAGCAGGCGTACCGGGGCGTGTGGGAGACCACGTGGATCCAGGAGCGCTGCCGGGAGTACCACATCCCCTGTCCCTTCCAGGTGAGCTACACCACCCAGCTCAACGCCCACCCTTCCCTTCCCTCGTCATTTTTTGGCTGTGAGACCTGAAATGTGTCTGGGGAATGTAGAAAATTTGGATTTATTTGGGAGGAAAAGGGATTCTTTGTGCCCTCTGGAAGGGATGAAGGTGGTGGATTTGGAGCAGTGGAATCACTTGGAATGCGAGCCCTGGGCTGACTCCAGAGACCTTTTGGAGCTCTTTGCACTCAAAGGAGATGTTGAGAGTGGAGTTTTCCCTCCTTTGGCTGGGGTTGTGTTGGTCACAGCTACAAGTGCTGGTCATACAAAGGTGGTGTGTCCTTGGGGATGGAGCCCTTCCCTCTGGGAACCTCCCCCTCCAGGCTCCTGGAGCCTCAGGAAGGGCCCTGTGAGCCCCATCCCAGCCACAAAAGTCTCCTGCTGAAGCAGCTGAAGGTCTGCAGGGAGCAGACCTTGGGTGATGAAACCAGAAGATGCTGAATTATTGAGTACAGGGGTGGTTTGAGGAGCCCCAGGCAGGAGGGGCTGTGGCCGCCCTTTGGTCCTGGCCTGCTTGGGCTGAGCAGCCTGGGGGGGTCCCAGAGAGGGTTTATGGGGTGGCTGGGGGGGGAAAACTTCCTCAGAGTGGGAAGAAATTCCTGCAGGTGCTGTGGAAGCTGAGCCAGGTGGCAGGGGAGAGTTCCTTGTTGAGTTCCTCACTCAAAGCTCTGCCGTTCCTATTAAAAAATGTTGTTGGATTTTTGGATTAATTCAGATATTGGAATAATTCCTTAGGCTGAGTGTTGTTGGGAAATCACAAGTTCCCATCAGCTGCTTGGTGATTTTTCCTGGATTTTGTGGGCTCTGTGGCACCTACACAGGATGTAAAGATGTTATTTTTGGTTGTAAAGAGTTTATTTTTGGTTGTTGGAAGTTTTGCTGGTGAGGAATTTTGGCGTTTGAACTGAGTTCTGATCAGGCTGCTGTTTGTAATTCTTGTTCATTTGTAGCAGATTTGGGGCTTTGATGGCCTGGAGGTTTTCTCCTCATTTTGTGCCGGGAACATCTGTATAAAATCTGACCTGAAGTGTCTTCTGAAGAAAACCAGAGCTTGCAGCTCATCAGCTTTGGGGTTTTTTTTTTCAAGAAACTGAGATTTATCTGCTGGGTTTAATTGAGTTATCACAGGAACAGAAGCCTCTCAGAGCCCTGAGATCAAACTCTCCACTGGTTCATTCAGATGCAGTTGAAAAGAAAGTATTTTAGGGATTAATTGCTTGCTTTTGGGCCAAAATGACAGATTGGTTTTGGAATGACATTCCTTAATAATTCTGCAAATTATTTTTTTAATTTTTTTTAATTCTGCAAATTATAAGGGAACTTTATTTCCAGAGGGTTTTACAGCAAACCTCTATTTTACAGCTGCGTGCAGAGGGATATTTAAAAATTAACATTTTGGCTCTGAAGCAGTTAAAACACCAGCTGAATCATCAAAGCTCACATTTTAATGCAATAAAATATCACTTTAAGGTTTGGCTTAGGCTTGATAATAATCCTTTTATTACCTTTTAACCCTTTCTGGTTTGTTGTTTTTTTTTTTTTTTTTCCTCTTTCTTAGGTTTTATTAGGGTGGGATTCTTCCCTGCCATCCAAAGTGGGAGCATTTTTATGGCAGGAAATCTGTGGCAGTGGGTGTGTGCAGTTCCATTGGTTTGATTGAGTCTTCACTGCTGCAGGTTTTAATCTGATGCTTAAAAACAGAGAGAAAAAAAAAAAAAAGAAGGGAGCCACGTGGCTTTATCTTGATTAATTTCCAACACCCACCGTGTGCCAATCGAAATCTTTATTTAAATATTGAAATAATTGAAATTTAAGCATCTATAAAATCACGAGGCGAAATTTTGAGCAAAAACTTTGTTTTTAAACCTTGAAACTGAGGGCTGGGATAATGAAAACAGCTCCTGAAATCCCTGGCAAGCCGTTGCTGGAGTGGCCCAGCGGGAGTCAAAAGAACAATAATGGTTTCATTCACATCAAATTGGGTTGAAGGACCTGCAGACCCCAGGGAGCATTAGAGGGGTTGTTTTTTCTCCTTTTAACCCCTCCATTTATATTTTTTTCCCCTCAAACTAAGCATGCTTCCCATATGAAACAATCCAGATTTATAACTGAACCAGATTCCCAAAGCTGGGGGTGGGGGGAAAATGATTTTATCCTTAGCTCATGGTAGTGAAAAATATCCTTAAATCAGGGGGAAATTGTGGGGAATATCCCTCAGTGGTGAAATAAGAACACCTATTTATGAAGCTTTAATGTTCTTTAATTAATTTCTAATGTTTCTGAGAGCAGAGCACCCTAAATGGAGAGCGGAGTTGATCCCACAGCAGATAAAAAGGTTTTGTGGTCTGGGGATTTTTCCCAACACCAGCAAATCCGAGGTTAAAAATCCACTGGGGCGTGACATCATCCGTGCCATGGGAGATGATGGCACAGGAACTCCTTCTGGAAAATTCCCAGAGAGGGGGTGGGAACTGCAGCTGCTCCTGCGGGGTCAGCCCTGGGGATTGGCCTGGCCGCTCCAGAACCAGCTGGGGCCCAGATGAAAACCAGAAACTGGGATTGTGTGGCTGCCTGGAATCGGGAACATTCCCCAAACGAGAAATATTCCCAAAATTAGAAATATTCCCATAGAGAGAGTTTGGTCAGATGAAAACCAGAAACTGGGATTGTGTGGCTGCCTGGAATCGGGAACATTCCCCAAACGAGAAATATTCCCAAAATTAGAAATATTCCCAAAATGGGAAATATTCCCATAGAGAGAGTTTGGTCAGATGAAAACCAGAAACTGGGATTGTGTGGCTGCCTGGAATCGGGAATATTCCCCAGATGAGAAATATTCCCAAAATTAGAAATATTCCCAAAATTACAAATATTCCCAAGTAGAGAGTTTGGTCAGATAAAAACCAGAAACTGGGTTTCTGTGGCTGCCTGGAATCGGGAATATTCCCCAAACGAGAAATATTCCCAAAATTTGAAATAATCCCAAAATGAGAAATATTCCCATAGAGAGAGTTTGGTCAGATGAAAAACAGAAACTGTATTTATTTGGCTGCCTGGAATCAGAAATATTCCCCAAATTAGAAATATTCCCAAGCAGAGACTTTGGTCAGATAAAAAACAGAAAACAGAAAACTGTACAGAAACTGTATTTATTTGGCTGCCTGAAATCAGAAATATTCCCCAAATATGAAATATTCTCAAAATTAGGAATATTCCCAAGCAGAGAGTTTGGTCAGATAAGAACCAGAAACTGGGATTGTGTGGCTGCCTGGAATCGGGAATATTCCCCAGATGAGAAATATTCCCATAGAGAGAGTTTGGTCAGATAAGAACCAGAAACTGGGATTGTGTGGCTGCCTGGAATCGGGAATATTCCCCAGATGAGAAATATTCCCATAGAGAGAGTTTGGTCAGATAAGAACCAGAAACTGGGATTGTGTGGCTGCCTGGAATCGGGAATATTCCCCAGATGAGAAATATTCCCATAGAGAGAGTTTGGTCAGATAAGAACCAGAAACTGGGATTGTGTGGCTGCCTGGAATCAGGAATATTCCCCAAATATGAAATATTCCCAAAATGAGAAATAGAGAGTTTGGTCAGATAAAAACCAGAAACTGGATTTGTTTGGCTGCCTGGAATCGGGAACATTCCCAAAATGAGAAATATTCCCAAAATGAGAAATAATCCCAAGCAGAGAGCTTGGTCAGATAAAAACACAAACTGTGTTTGTTTGGCTGCCTGGAATCAGAAATATTCCCAGAATTAGAAATATTCCCAAATGGAGAGCTTGGTCAGATAAAAACACAAACTGTGTTTGTTTGGCTGCCTGGAATCAGAAATATTCCCAGAATTAGAAATATTCCCAAATGGAGAGCTTGGTCAGATAAAAACACAAACTGTGTTTGTTTGGCTGCCTGGAATCAGAAATATTCCCAGAATTAGAAATATTCCCAAATGGAGAGCTTGGTCAGATAAAAACACAAACTGTGTTTGTTTGGCTGCCTGGACTCAGAATTATTCCCAGAATTAGAAATATTCCCAAGTGCAGAGCTTGGTCAGATAAAAACCAGAAACTGTGTTTATTTGCTGCCTGAACTCAGAATTATTCCCAAAATTAGAAATATTCCCATGTGGAGAAAGCCACAGGGTTGCCTCTGTGTGGGGCATCACCCTCTGGGGTTCCTGGACCTTTCCTGCCCTCACCTGGGTCTGGATTCTTTCGTTTTTTTGGCAAATTTGGGAGGCACCCCTTGCTTTCCTTGGGAAATAAAAACTTCTTTGCCACAAGGGCAGGGAATCCCTGTCCCACTTTTCCCTCTCCTCCTGGGCAGACACTGAAGGAGTTTGTGGTGCCTCGTTGTGAAAAATGCTCTTCACTTTTGTTCAAATTGTAGGAATTTCACAGTAGTGAAAATATTAATAAAAATTAGACAACAAGAGACAATAAAAAGCAAAGAATTACAGGGTGCCTGGCACTCCACTAAAAGGCACACCTTGCTAATAAAGGATTGCTTGAAAAGCAATAATCTAATGCATATTTATATATTTCGTACATAATTCAAATATTCTTTTCAAACTAGGGGGTTTCTGATTAATTTTAGCTTCCCCCCCCCATCTTGTAAATTAATTTTGGTCATAATTTTTCTCTTGGGATTTTGGTGTTTGTTGCTTGATGGGAGAATTTCTTGATTATTTTTTCTATTCCTTGAGTTAGTTCCAAAAAGTATCTTACATCATCACATAGTTTCTATTTTAATATTCTGCTATAAATAATAATATAAAACTATATTTAGTACGCTGTTTAAAAGAGATTCATGCAGCATAACTTTCCAACATCACACATATAATATTCATTTTAATATTTGCAAAAAGCCAATATTATATTATATAATATATTATAATAATATTATAATATTACCTGTCCTGCTCCAAAATTTGGGGGAAAATAGGAAAGGAAATCT